TTTTTTGTATCCTACATATAAGTGATATCATATGGTATTTTTCTGTCTCTTTCTGGCTTACTCAGTGTCATTTAAATCTGTTTCCTCTCCCCTTCACCCCTCCTCTTTGTTTTCCTTCCGTACATATTGGACTTTGTCGTCTGCCTTCCTCTCTCCATCCACATTTTTCCCTGGTGATCCCAGTCACTCTCATACCTTGGAACCTTTAGCTGATCTCCAGCCCAGCCTCCACCCTAAGCTTTGGCACTGCATTGCCCTCTCTTTGCCCACCTGTTCTACCTCAGGGGCTGGTATTTAAGACTCAGCATGTCTAAGCCTGAAGTCATTGCCTCCTCTCCACAAGGGGGAAACAAAAAGAAACAAAACCATTGTCTTTCTTTCTTACCACCATCCTTTAGCCTTCTAGGAATACACTTTTGGTTAGTGTTTGATAACTTTCACTCACTCATCTCCCCATACAGTCCATTCCCAATTCCAGCCCTTCTGTGAGTCTTCCCTCACTCCCTGCCAGTCCTTTCCCATCACCACCGCCACACCTAATCAGCAACATTTTTTCTTTTTGTTTTACTTTCTTGCTAGGTATGTTCTAACAGTATCCCAAGTAGGTTCTGGGCTTTGAGTCTATCAAGTCTATCCTTCATAGATTGACAGCTTATTCCCCCTAAAGTTCAAAGACCCACAATGGCTCTCCACTCCCTATTAAATAAAACTTCAAACTCTTAGATCACCATTCTAGGTGCTCTGCAGACTTTCTCCCAACTCCCCCAGCCCTGTTTCCCACCACCTGATACATGTCCAAGTAAACTGAAGTTCCTTAAGAGCTCCCCAAATCCTATCTCTGCTCTTACTATTTTCTATGCTAGGGGTTCCCTTTCCAAATCACTATTATAATTCTATCCATCTTCATGCCACATCTCAAACCTCTTTGTCTTCTGTGAGTCTCTCTAGATTTGAATTTGTGTGGTTTCAGGTTACTTACCACATCCATGAAAATGTACTATTTTCACTAATTGTGTGTAGATCTTACCACCTCCATCATGGGACAGGTGCTTAGAGGACAGGGAACTTGTTTTATTCTCAGTCCCGGTAGTACCCAGTGTACTGTATGGTGGGGAGAAGTCACTCAGGGTATTGAATGGAAGGTGAAGGAAGGGAAATTAATGTTTGGTAGGGCCAAAATAGAAAGCTGTGTTCCCACTGTGGTGGCCAGGAATTCAGCCCCAGGTCAGAAAATGACTGCCTACAGCTCCTTCAAGGAAGTCACAGGAGCCTTTCTCCATCCACGTCATAAGGAGTGGCAGTGGCACAGGAGCAGATGAAGCTTAGTCTTCTGGTCAGGGCATGTTGGCTCTGGTAAGAGCTTGGGGATCGTCTAGCTCTCAGAAGTGAAACATGCAGCTCAGGGAGACGTGGGGCTGGTCCTACACAAACCTGTAGCTGCAGCCCTGGCTCTGAGTTCAAGTCTTCTCTGTCCGCAAGTTGAACCTGTTTGATTTATGGATAAGAGGCATAAAGAAGTCACCCTCTCTGCCCTCTTCCCAGATAACTTTTCATAGTAAAAGAAAATTTAAAAAATCAAATAACGTATGTAATTTTAAATTTCCAAAACATATGGAGGAGTGGGGAGAGGTTTTAATTTCACTGAAATTTTGTTGACTGGGATTGAAAGGACTTTCTTAGTGTCCTCTGGTCCATCTGAGGGTACTTATGTCCCAAAATTCATCAAATCAGGTTTTAACTGATTTCATGATTTCTGATTTAACTGATAAATTCTCCCTTCCACAACTGATGTTTTGTGGTGTTTAATTCTCCTGTTGTCAACCGAGTGATAAAATCACTCCTGGTTTACAAAAAGACATTTTTGTGTCATTACTTCATTGATTAAATTCTTTTTTCCCTGGTCATAATATTTCTATTTGCTCGTGGAAGAGAAAGAAACATTTTATGTATAGAAAAAAGAGTGAGAATTAAAAATATCACGGTTAACCTTTTGGTATAAAAATGGTATTTGCAGCTTTGGATCTTGTTCTTTATTCTCATGTAATAGATCCCTGTCCCTTCTCTCACTTTACGCCACTGCTCTTTGGGGTCCAAGATTTTGGCAGCACTGCTTCATATGTGACAAAATGATTCCATTTTGTAATATAAGCAAACAAGTGTACTGCAGAGAAAGAACCTGTACCTGTTGTGATTTCCATGAAATAAAAAAGCTCAGTATTCAAATGGGGTGTAACTTTAAAAATGAGATTTGAACATCAAATGGTGGTCTACTTTGGGGGGTCGAATTTTAATAGGTTTTAAATTTCTTTTGTACACTTTAATATAGTTCCTTTATTTTATACGATGCTCGTGGCTTTTATTTGGAAAAAAAAAAACCCGACGAAGAAAGATTTTAAAACTCTCTTGTGTTAGTTACTGTGTTGCTATTATGACATGTTAAAGAAGCCATTCAGCTGCTGCACGTAACTATCTGTAAAGATGAGTGTGTTGGCGGGGGGAGGAGATCCGGAAAACAATAAATTAGAGTAGTAAAAATTTTCCTGAAAAGGTTGGTTTGTGCCGTTATTTACAGTCTTTTTCTTCTATCATCATAAGATGATATGATAAGAATTCAGTGGTTCTGTAATTACAGGTATCGCAAAGGATTTGAGCTCCAGTCATCTCTTTATTCTGGAATTAACCTTGCAGTTTTGCTGATAGTTGCTGGACAACAATTCGAAACTTCCATGGAACTAAGGAAACTAGGTAAAGCTGCTTCTTACTGCAGATGTTGACATGCTTTGGTAACACAAGTTCAGCATTAAAAATTATGTTCAAATAACTAGCATTATATTTCAAAAAGAGCAGTTACTCTCTGATGCACACCTGAGGCAGTAGCCAAAATAAAATGCCTGGTTTCTCCTCTATCTAAAGGCTTGCATACTATGATAGATACTAGGAAGATTTTTCATAACTTTATCTAAAATTCGAATTCTTAAGATGTCCGGCTGAACAGTTTGTTGGGAAGAAAAGGGAGCTTGGAGAAAATGAACAATTAGTGGGATGTGAGTCAGTTCTTCAACGTCAGCATGTTGGCCAGTTATGTTGGGAAGGCTGTCCAGGCAGCAGAGAGGTTGTTCAAACTGAAACCTCCAGTCTGGTGAGTCATGCAGATAGTAAAGCTCAAAGTACACCAAGAAAATGATGTTCGTCACAAATGAAGACTGGAATTAAAACACAAGTAATAGATATGGTCAAGAAAATGGTGGCCCAGTAGTGGCCCTAGGTTAGCCCATTTTACAGCCCTTGAAATGTGCAAGAAAGACTACTTGGAGACCTGGAAATGTGTTCATGGTTTATAATGGAATAAGAAAAGCCAGGTGCACAATATATTTTTCTCTTCAGTGATTCTCAGACTTTGGCATGTATCAGAATCACCTTTGTTGATTAAAACACATATTGCTGGGCTTCCTCTTAGGATTTCTGGTTCAAAGGGTCTAGGGTAGGACCTGAGAATTTGCATTTACAAATTACAAGCTGGCGCTGCTGGTGTGGGGCCTACACTTTGAGAACTACTGTTCTATATGGACTCATTTTAATTAAAAATTTGTGTTTCGTATGTGACTCAGCAGGGTTTGGGAGGGTTGGACAATAGCTGATTTCCCAATAGACATTAAGCTTCATTAGAAAGGACACTCTCTGAGATAATCACTATCAGTATTTTGGAGAAAATCCACCATTCATCATTTATTCATTACACAAATATCGACTGAGCATCAATTATGAGACTATAGCAAGCAATAATATAAGCACAATTATGAAGGACACTCTTAGCAGGCAGGATGTCCCTAGGACTGAGAAGTGATCTCTCAGAAGCCAGTCAAGAGCCAGACCTTTCTTTGGAATGTGTAGTTTGGACAACCCAGGCCTGCTGAGTTAATCCTTTACTGCTCAGTACCCAAGCAAGTCACGCAGAGTCTAGCTGATCTGCCTTCCCAGGATAGTGCCAGACTTTATCCTCAAAGGGCAAAATAGTACTCTGATACTATCAGTGGAACCACCTCTCCCCAGCTCCATTCACTACCAGAGAGGATGTGACCATCACTGCTTAGCAACTGTGATTCAAAAAGTTCAATTTGCCTGAAGATTGTAAAGGTGTGGTGAGATTGAAGACCTCATAAATTCAAAATCCCCCTGGTCAGATCTAATTAAAAAAAAGAGAGAGAAGACACTGAGGAGAGGGGAGGGTATAGATCAGTGGTAGAGCATGTGCTTAGCATGCATAGGGTCCTGGGTTCAATCTCCAGTACCTCTATAATTAAGTAATTAATTAACCTCCTCCCCCAAAAAATAATAAAAGAAGAAAAGACACTGAGTTTCATATTAGTGATTGCCAGAGGTCAAAGTGAGGATCGGGGCCAGGAGGAGTTGGTGTGGCTATAGAAGGGAAACAAGAGGGATCCTTGTGGTGATGGAAATGCTTTCTATCTTGACTGTATCATTGTCAATATCCTGATTGTGATACTGTTGTAGAATTTTGTATGATGCTACCATTGGGGTAAATCTTGCCAAGGGTGCATGGGATCTCTCTGTATTGTACCTTTCAATTGTATTTAAATCTAAAATTACCTCAAAATTAAAAGGGTAGTTAGAAAAGAAGACACTGAGTTTGAAATTTTGTCATTTTGTGGTTGCTTTGAGCTTCAAAGCAGTTGCTTTTGTTAATTAAGATAGCAAATGCCTGCCAGTCTGTATGCTTTGAACACAAAGTACCAAAATTGAGATTTAGCCCAATGTTGGTAAAAAGCCATGTTGTATGATTTTGTTGGACAAGCTTATTTTGCCCCATTTGGGTTTCTTTTAATTAAGTATGTGGCTGCCAAATGATTAAGAAACACTTGCTACATAATATGAATTTAAGCAAATGAAGCTTTTGGGAAATTTCTTGTAAAGGGAGTAGAATTGACTTTTCTTTGGGAATCTAATTTATTGGTGCTTGTGATTTTTTCCAGGTACCTGCGATCATTAGTTCAGAACTTCAGTGCTTCAAGAAACCCATTATTGAACATTCACCCAGGCAAGAATGGCTGAACTTCTGGTTAGATACAATTTTTGAAGCAACAAATGTTACCAGTGGACTCAGATTTCCAGTAAGAGATGCTAAATCCATTTCTTCAAGATTAAAAAAAAAGAAACCGGGATTGGTACTATCTAATTATTGAATACTCTGAAGGGAAGAAAACCTTAGAGTAATTGAAAATGTTAAGGTATCCATCAGTTTTACGTAGAATCGGCCAATGATAGATCAACCCACTAGAAAAAATTGGCTATAGCCTCTAAAATAGTGGTTCTCAACTGGGAGTGATTTTGTCCCCTAGAGATACTTGGCAACATCTGGAGACATTTTTAGTTGTCGCAATGGTTGGGAAGATGTTGCTACCAGCAGCTAGTGAAGTGGAGGCCAAGGATGCCACTAAACCTCCCATAGTGCACAGGATAGCCTCCTGCCCCCAACACAGAGTTACGAATGTCCATAGTGTTGAGGTGGAGAAACTCTGTTCTAAAATGCAGCACTAGTAGTGAAATTTTGGAATTCAGACTGTTTCCTGTTGACCTTTGATTTGCCTCCAATGCCACTAATTAATTTTTAAAACTTTATTGAAAAGCAGAATTGCTTTTAGCTTTTCATTGAGGTTTTTTTTTTTTTTCCTTTTTGTGACCGTCTTATAAAGGAGTCACAAGTAAGACATCTAAGCATCCTGGAAACTGAACTTTAGATAATTGTGTTTCATATTTATGCTGTGACCATTCAGTGTTTAAGAATTTCATGAAACATCTAACAAAAGATTACATTATTTGAAATGATTATGATAATGATTTTGCTCCTGAGTAATAAGTTATTAAATCTTCTTTTAGTTATACTGAAAGGTACAAAAAATAACGGAACAGACATTCATGTAATCTCTACCCAGGTTTAGCAAAAAACGTGTTCCTTTACTTGCTTTGGAAATTCATTCTGTCTCCTTCCCCCTTTTTTACCTGCCTCCTCTACATCTCTCCCTCCTCCTGTCCTTCCCTCCCTCCCTCAACCCCAGCAAAATAAAATTTGATTGATGGAATGTCACCTCACTCTTCATCCTCTACCTACCTGTGGATCATCCAGTTTACCTCCTCATTTCTCACAAAAACTGTAGCCTTCCTCTTTTTCCTCTGTGACCTCTTCAGGCACCCTTTCTTGGCCACACTGTCTAAAGAAGTGTCCCCTACCTTTATTCTACATTATTTTCTTCAGAGGTCTATATGCTATCATATTACATATCTTCTGTGTTGGTTACCCCATCTGCCCCATCAGAGCATGGACCTCCCACAGGGAAGGAACTTCTGTTGTGGGCTGCCGCATCCACGGGTGCTAAAGCAGTGTTGGTGCATCGTTGGTACTTGAAGAATATATCTGTGGGGTCCAGAGCTTCCCACTTCCTCACTGGGCAGGGTAACCTATGTGGCATGTTCCCATGCTTTACAGAAATCTGTTCTTTTAGGTTCTGGTGATAGAACCAACCAAAGTCTACCAGCCTTCTTAATTCTTGTCTCTATAAACAATGAAGCTGAGGAGAGGACGGTTTCTCTGTGGCATGTCTCATCCATGGAAATGGTAAGAAAAAAAATCATAAACAGCGCTCTTTATTCTGTATTATTTAATGAAAAACTCAATTTTCAATAGGAAAGTCAACTATGTTGTAGTCCTTGAAAGAACAGGTACCCGCACCTAACTTCTGAGTTACAGGAGTATACGAGAGAGTGGAATCACAGATGGAAGGAAGCTTATATATATATGTGTGTGTGTGTGTGTGTGTATGTATATATATATATATATAAAAAATATGTGTGTATACATATATATATTATATATAACTGGATAAGGATTAAAGTGCAAGTCCCTCCAAATCCCCCAAACCTGGTCTATATTCCCATTGCCAATGATTTGGTAGATTTCCATCTATACCTTTTTCTAAGCTCAGTTATATTTGTATAATGTATGTGTATAAATATATCCATTTTATGTTTAATATATATAGAGAGAGGGGGAGAAGCACTTTCATTAAAATGATATCATATGGTATATATTCATTATTTTGCAACTTACTCTTTAAAAAATTTTTTAAAGTACAGTCAGTTTACAGTGTTGTGTCAATTTGTGTACAGCATAATGTTTCAGTCATACATATACATATTTTCCTTTTCATATTCTTCATTATAGGTTACTACAAGATATTAAATATAGTTCCTTGTGCCATACAGTAGAAACTTGTTTATCTATTTTATATTTAGTACAATTTACTTTTTTTTAAACTGAAGTACCATAAGTTATAATGTGTCAATTTCTGGTGTACAGAACAATGTCCCAGTCATGCATATACATGCATATATTCATTTTCATATTCTTTTCCATTAAAGCTTATTACAAGATACTAAATATAGTTCCCTGTGCTATACAGAAGAAACTTGTTTTTCTAATCTATTTTTATATATAGTAGCTAACATTTGTAAATCTCAAACTCCCAAATTTATCCCTTCCACCCCTTTTCCCCTGGTAACCATAAGATTATTTACTAAGTCTTTGAGTCTGTTTCTGTTTTGTAAATGAGTTCATTAGTATCCTCTTTTTTCTTTTTCTTTTTTTGAGATTCCATATATGAGCGATATCATATGATATTTTTTCTTTTTCTGACCTACTTCACCTAGAATGATGATCTCTGGGTCCTTCCATGTTGCTGCAAGTAGCATTATTTTATTATTTTTTATGGCTGAGTAGTATTCCATTGTATAAATATACCACAGCTTCTTTATCCAGTCCTCTGTTGATGGATGTTTAGGCTGTTTCCATGTCTTGGCTATTGTAAATAGTGCTGCTACGAACATTGGGGTGCATGTATCTTTTCAAAATTAGAGTTCTCTCCAGATATATACCCAGGAGTGGGATTGCTGGATCATATGGCAAGTCTATTTTCAGTTTTCTGAGGGATCTCCATACTGTTTTCCATAATGGCTGCACCAAACTACATTCCCACCAGCAGTGTAGGAGGGTTCCCTTTTCTCCACACCGTCTCCAGCATTTATCATTTGTGGACTTTTGAATGATGGCCATTCTGACTGGTGTAAAGTGATATCTCATTGTAGTTTTGATTTGCATTTCTCTGATAATTAGCGATATTGAGCATTTTTTCACGTGCCTATGACCATTTGTATGTCTTCACTGGAGAATTGCTTGTTTAATTCTTCTGCACATTTTTGGATTTGGGTTTTTTTTTTTGTTATTAAGCTGTATGAGCTATTTATTCTGAAAATTAAACCTTTGTCAGTCACATCATTTGTAAATATTTTCTCCCATTTTGTAGGCTGTTATTTTGTTTTGCTTGTGGTTTCTTTTGCTGTGCAAAAGCTTGTAAGTTTAATTAGGATTCTTTTGTTGATTTTTGCCCTTATTTCTATTGCCTGGGAAAACTGCCCTAGGAGAACATCGATAAGATTTATGTCAGAGAATGTTTTGCCTGTGTTTTCTTCTAGGAGGTTTATCGTGTCTTGTCTTATATTTAAGCCATTTTGAGTTTATTGTTGTGTACAGTGTGAGGGAGTGCTCTCACTTCATTGATTTACATGCTGCTGTCCAGTTTTCCCAACACCACTTGCTGAAGAGACTGTCTTTTCTCCATTGTATATTCTTGCCTCCTTTGTCATAGATTAATGGACTGTAGGTCTGTGGGTTTATTTCTGGGCTCTCTGTTCTGTTCCATTGATCCATAGGTCTGTTTTTATGCCAATACTGCTCTGTTTTGATTACTGTACCTCTCTAGTATTGTGTGAAATCTGGAAGGGTCTTTTCTCCAGCTTCGTTCTTTTACTTCAGTATTGCTTTGGCAATTCTGGGTCTTTTGCGATTCCATGTAAATTTTAGGATTATTTGTTCTAGTTCTGTGAAAAATGTCCTGGGTAATTTGATAGAGATCACATTAAATCTGTAGATTGCCTTGGGCAGTATGGCCATTTTAACACAACTTACTCTTTTTAAACGATCCATATGTACATCATGGACATCAGCACACACTGATCCACTTGATTTTTTAAAATGTAATATTCCCTGCATTTCTATATCATGGTGGTACATTTCCGAGTGTGGATGACCCATAATTTATCTTACCACTTTACTGCTAGTGCACGTTTAGGTCTCAACTTTTCATTCTACGTGATGGTAGATACACTAGTGCACATCGTGGTGGTTATGCCCTACCATGTACATGTAGATATTTCAGGAGCAGAGATTTCCAGAATTGGACTTGCTGGATTCAAGATGCGTCTGAAGTACTTCATCAGACTTTTTCTTTCATAAAATAGTTTGTAGTAATAAAAAGAGGTAGCACCTTTGACAAGTGTGTTACATGGAGCTATTTGCTATGTATATGTTTTCATAGAGTGTGGGGAGAGTTCCTCCATTAACTTGGCAAAAAAGGATTTTTTTTCCCCTGGAAACACGAGTCTGAGCTATTATGTCTTAATCAGGTAAAAATAGCAATATCTTCAAAAATAAAATAGATCATTGGAGAATAAGGAGAGGCTCAAAATCATATTAGAAACTCCTTAGCAGAAAAATAGTCATGACACAACTTCCCATGGTTCAGTGGGTATAAAGTTTGAGTTGTGCAAGATGAGTCAGTCATAGAGGGCTGCTGCACAGCATGGTGTCTGTAGTTAACAGTATGGGGGTGTGCACTTCAAATCCGTTAGGCAGGCAAATCTCATGTGTTCTTACCACACACACAAAATGAAAACAAAACCCAAGAGACACATGGACACTTTGGGAGTTGTTAGCTATGTGTCTTACTTTGATTGTAGTGATAGTATCATGGGTATTTGCCTATGTCCAAACTCATGAAATTATGCACATTAAATAAGTGCAGTTCTTTGTATATCAGTTATGCCTCAATAAAGGTATATATCAAAAAGATATAGTCATGAATGATATTTCAAGTTGCCTTAGTCTGCTTGAGCTGCTGTAACAGAATACCATAGACTGGGGGGTTAAACAATAGAAAAGTATTTCTCACAGTTCTGGGGGCTGGAAAATCAGAAATCAGAGTGCCAGCATGGTCAGGTGTTGATGAGAACCCTCTTCCTGGTTTGCAGATGGTGGTCTTCTTGCCCTGTTCTCACATGATAAAAAGAGAGACAGGGAACTTCTCCTGTCTCCTCTTCTAAAGGGCACTAATCCCATCTCAAGGACTCCATCCACATGACCTAGTCACCTTCCAAAGGCCCCACCTCCTAACACCATCACATTGCCAGTTAGGGCTCCAACATATGAATTTGTGCAGACACTAACATTCAGTCCATGGCACAAATGTAAGCCAGTAACCTAGTCTAATAGTTAACAGTGAAGCTACCTGCCTCTCATTGATAAGAGAGTCAGTCGCCATTAGCGAAGACAAGCTGCTGTAATGTGCTGGAGGCTTTTTCCTGTGCTGTGTGCTTTAAATATTTGAGTGCCAAAGAGAGAAAGAATAAGATACATACGTGGTGTTCATACAGATATCTCTCATTTGAAGAATGCATGAACCCTATACTAGATTTGCCTCTTTGGGTTTTTTTTTTAACCTTTCATCCAAGTATAACATACACACGGAAAAGTGCATAACTCATAAACGTACAATTTGATGGATTTTTTACCAAATGAACACACTCAAGTAACCAGTACAACTCAAGGAAGGGACCATTAGCAAGCCCCCACCCCCCAAAGCCCTACTTATGTTCCCCGCTCCAGATGCTACCCCCATGAAGCACCCTGTCCTCAGTGTTGGAGTTCTTGTGCTAGAGGCCAACCTTGCTTTTTTAGTCTTTGTGTCATTGATGCCACTGATACAAGAGAATTTTCAAAATTCTCATCTGTAGCCTCACTCTTCCATTGATACAGGTAACAGAAGAGCTCATATTTTCACAAGGAGCTGTGGAAAAAACTAACCCTGTTAAAGCGACTCTTCTTGCTTTTAGAGCAAAATGATTTTGTTCTCACGGAATTCTACAAACCTATAATGATTGCAGGCCTTTAAAGGAAATTTCCGTTGGTACATATACCATCTCACTGGTTGTAAATGTTTTACTTTGTTTGCCTGGAGTCTGTAATAAGAAATGGAAAGGACTATATAAGCAGCAAATGCTAGTTTTCCTTGACTGATGAAATGTTTTGCACAGTGCTTGGTAGTTGTCAGTGCAAACGTCTGAGAGAAATATAAATTGCCTTTTTCCTTTGAGGAGGAAGCCTTTGCTTTTGCCTTCATTTACATTTTTGAAACTCTGCAGATTGTGAGAGCAAGCAGATTAGCCTAGAGTGAAATGCCGTTTCTCTACACAGAGTCCCCAGTAGGCTATGGATGGTGAGAAGCTGTCAGACACAGGCACATGTTCACCCGTGGACAGCACTGCTGGAAGATGAGGCTAAGTTCTGCTCCATCAGCCAAGGATTCAGAAACTTACGCTGATAAATGTTGAACTACCAGCTTTCCAGGGGAGACAGGAACCAGAGGGCTGATTTGTGGTGGTTGCTGATTTCTGTGGTGTAAATACACCCATCACGGCCAGTTTCAAGCAACCTCCATCGGGTCA